GGCCGTTTCAAATCCAAGCTAGGTCCAAGCTTGCTCCGATCTAGCCTTACGGTGTTTCATCGGTTTTTATCGCTCTCATGCAGTTTCACGTATTCCAAGTCCAGTTGGCACATATCTTCTTAAAAAACTATGAAGGTGATTTTGAGGGCCCGAACTATATGTTTTCACCAAAATAACTAATAAGTCGTGGCTTATAGCTATGAGTTTTGGTTGTTGGCCGTTTAAGATAGACTAGAGTCCGAACGGCTCGAACCTAGCTGACGGTTTTCCATCGAGTTTTTATCACACTCATACCAGTTTCACGTATTCCGACTCTAGTTGGCCGTATCTACTTGACAAACTATAAAGGAAGATTTTGAGAGCCCAAACTACGTTTTTTCACCAAACTAACTCAAAAGTCATGGCTTATAGCTATGAGTTTTGGTCGTTAGCCGTTTTCGATAGAGCTCAGGTCCAGAACAACTCAAACCTAGCCTTACGGTTTTTCATCGGTTTTTATCACATCGATATCGTTTCATGTATTCCGACTCCGGTTAGCCGTATCTTCTAACAAACTATGAAGGCTGATTTTGAGATCCCAAACAACCATTTTTCACAAAAATAACTCGTAAGTCACGGCTTAGAGCGATGAGGTTTTGTCGTTGGCCGTTTCGAATCCAACTAGGTCAGGCGATCGATCTAGCCTACGGTGTTTCATCGGTTTTTATCGCTCTTATACCGTTTCACGTATTCCAAGTCCGGTTGGCCCATATCTTCAAAAAACTATGAAGAGCTGATTTTGAGGGCCCAATTATATTTTTTCACCAAAATAACTAATAAGTCGTGGCTTATAGCTATGAGTTTTGGTTGTTGGCCGTTTCGAATAGAACTGGGTCCGAAACGGCTCAAACCTAGCACGACGGTTTTCCATCGGTTTTTATCACACTCATACCGTTTCACGTATTCCAACTCTAGTTGGCCGTATCTTCTTGACAAACTATGAAGGAAGATTTTGAGAGCCCAAACTACGTTTTTTCACCAAAATAACTCAAAAGTCATGGCTTATAGCTATGAGTTTTGGTCGTTAACTCGGATTTTCGATGGGCCCAGGTCCAGAACGACTCAAACCTAGCCTTACATTTTTTTCATCGGTTTTTATCACACGATATCGTTTCACGTATTCCAACTCCGGTTAGCCGTATCTACTTGACAAACTATTAAAGCTGATTTTGAGATCCCAAACAACCTTTTTTCACCAAAATAACTCGCAAGTCGAGGCTTATAGCGATGAGCTTTTGTCGTTGGCCCGTTTCGAATCCAACTAGGTCCAAGTTTGCTCCCGATCTAGCCTACGAGTGTTTCATCGGTTTTTATCGCTCTTATACCGTTTCACGTATTCCAAGTCCGGTTGGCGAGATCTTCTTAAAAAACTATGAAGGTGATTTTGAGGGCTCGAACTATATTTTTTCACCAAAATAACTAATAAGTCGTGGCTTATAGCTATGAGTTTTGGTTGTTGGCTCGTTTCGAGATAGAACTGAGGTCCGAAGCGGCTCGAAACCTGGGCGGCGGTTTTCCATCGGTTTTTATCACACTCAATACTAGTTTCACGTATTCTAACTCTAGTTGGGCAGTATCTTCTTGAGAAACTATGAAGGCGGATTTTGAGAGCCCGAACTTCGTTTTTTCACCAAAATAACTCAAAAGTCATGGCTTATAGCTATGAGTTTTGGTCGTTAACCGTTTTCGATAGAGCTCAGGTCCAGAACGGCTCAAACCTAGCCTTACGGTTTTTCATCGAGTTTTTATCACAGCGATATCGTTTCACGTACTCCGACTCCGGTTAGCCGTATCTACGCCGACAAACTATGAAGGCTGATTTTTAGATCCCAAACAACCTTTTTTCACCAAAATAACTCGTAAGTCTAGGCTTAGAGCGATGAGCTTTTGTCGTTGGCCGTTTCGCATCGAACTAGGTCCAAGCTGCTCCAACCTAGCCCTACGGTGTTTCATCGGTTTTATCGCTCTCATACCGTTTCACGTATTCCAAGTCCGGTTGGCCCATATCTTCTTAAAAAACTTTGAAGGGTGATGTTGAGGGCCGAACTATATTTTTTCACCAAAATAACTAATAAGTCGTGGCTTATAGCTATGAGTTTTGGTTGTTGGCCCGTTTCGAGATAGACCTAGGTCCAAACACCTCAAACCTAGCACGACGGGTTTTCCATCGGTTTTTATCACACTCGATACCGTTTCACGTATTCCAACTCTAGTTGGCCCGTATCTTCTTGACAAACTATGAAGGTAGATTTTGAGAGCCCAAACTATGTTTTTTCACCAAAATAACTCATAAGTCATGGCTTATAGCTATGAGTTTTGATCCTTAGCTCGATTCGGTAGAAGTAGGTCCGAAACGGCTCAAACCTAGCCTTACGGTTTTTCATCGGTTTTTATCACCACGATATCGTTTCACGTATTCCGACTCCGATTAGCCGTATCTTCTTGACAAACTATGAAGGCTGATTTTGAGATCCCAAACAACCATTTTTCACAAAAATAACTCGTAAGTCATGGCTTAGAGCGATGAGCTTTTCTCGTTGGCCGTTTCGAATCCAACTAGGTCCAGCTGCTCCCGATCTAGCCTACGGTGTTTCATCGGTTTTTATCGCTCTTATACGGTTTCACGTATTCCAAGTCCAGTTGGCCCATATCTTCTTAAAAAACTATTAAGGCTGATTTTGAGGGCCCAAACTATATTTTTTCACCAAAATAACTAATAAGTCGTGTCTTATAGCTATGAGTTTAGGTTGATGGCTCGTTTCGAGATACACCTAGGTCCAAGCGGCTCGAACCTGGGCGACGGTTTTCCATCGGTTTTTATCACACTCATACCGTTTCACGTATTCTAACTCTAGTTGGCTCGTATCTTCTTGACAAACTATGAAGGCGGATTTTGAGAGCCCGAACTACGTTTTTTCACCAAAATAACTCAAAAGTCATGTCTTATAGCTATGAGTTTTGGTCGTTGGCCCGTTTTCGATAAAACTAGGTCCAAACGGCTCGAACCTAGCCTTACGGTTTTTAATCGGTTTTCATCACCACGATATCGTTTCACGTATTCCAACTCCGATTAGCCGTATCTCCTTGACAAGCAATGAAAGGCGATTTTTAGATCCCAAACAACCTTTTTCACCAAAATAACTCGTAAGTCGAGGCTTAGAGCGATGAGCTTTTGTCGTTGGCCGTTTCGCATCGAACTAGGTCCAAGCTGCTCGACCTAGCCCTACGGTGTTTCATCGGTTTTTATCGCTCTCATACCGTTTCACGTATTCCAAGTCCGGTTGGCTCATATCTTCTAAAAAACTTTGAAGGTGATGTTGAGGGCCCGAACTATATTTTTTCACCAAAATAACTAATAAGTCGTGGCTTATAGCTATGAGTTTTGGTTGTTGGCCGTTTCGAGATAGACCTGAGGTCCGAACACCTCGAACCTGGCTGACGGTTTTCCATCGGTTTTTATCACACTCATACAGTTTCACGTATTCCAACTCTAGTTGGCCGTATCTTCTTGACAAACTATGAAGGTATATTTTGAGAGCCCAAACTACGTTTTTTCACCAGAAATAACTCGTAAGTCATGGCTTATAGCTATGAGTTTTGATCCTTAGCCCGATTCCGGTAGAGCCTAGGTCCAAGCTGACTCAAACCTAGCCTTACGGTTTTTCATCGGTTTTTATCACATCGATATCGTTTCACGTATTCCGACTCCGGTTAGCCGTATCTTCTTGACAAACTATTAAAGCTGATTTTGAGATCCCGAACAACCATTTTTCACAAAAATAACTCGTAAGTCATGGCTTAGAGCGATGAGCTTTTCTCGTTGGCCGTTTCGAATCCAACTAAGTCCAAGCTTGCTCGATCTAGCCTACGGTGTTTCATCGGTTTTTATCGCTCTTATACGCGTTTCACGTATTCCAAGTCCAGTTGGCCCATATCTTAAAAAACTATGAAGGTGATTTTGAGGGCCCAAAGTATATTTTTTCACCAAAATAACTAATAAGTCGTGGCTTATAGCTATGAGTTTAGGTTGATGGCTCGTTTCGAGATACACACTAGGTCCAAACGGCTCGAAACCTAGGCGGCAGTTTTCCATCGGTTTTTATCACACTCGTGCCGTTTCACGTATTCTAACTCTAGTTGGCTTTGTATCTTCTTGACAAACTATGAAGGCGGATTTTGAGAGCCCAAACTACGTTTTTTCACCAAAATAACTCAAAAGTCATGGCTTATAGCTATGAGTTTTGGTCTTTGGCCGTTTTCGATAGAAGCCCAGGTCCAAACGGCTCGAAACCTAGCCTTACGGTTTTTCATCGGTTTTATCACACCGATATCGTTTCATGTATTCCAACTCCGGTTAGCCGTATCTCATCGACAAACAATGAAAGCGATTTTTAGATCCCGAACAACCTTTTTTCACCAAAATAACTCGTAAGTCGAGGCTTAGAGCGATGAGCTTTTGTCGTTGGCCGTTTCGCATCGAACTACGTCCAAGCTGCTCAACCTAGCCCTACGGTGTTTCATCGGTTTTTATCGCTCTCATACGGTTTCACGTATTCCAAGTCCGGTTGGCCCATATCTTAAAAAACTTTGAAGAGGTGATGTTGAGGGCCCGAGACTATATTTTTTTACCAAAATAACTAATAAGTCGTGGCTTATAGCTATGAGTTTTGGTTGTTGGCCCGTTTCGGATAGAACTGGGTCCAACACGGCTCGAACCTAGCTGACGGTTTTCCATCGAGTTTTTATCACACTCATACGGAGTTTGACGTATTCCAACTCTAGTTGGCCGTATCTTCTTGACAAACTATGAAGGAAGTTTTTGAGAGCCCGAACTACGTTTTTTCACCAAAATAACTCAAAAGTCATGGCTTATAGCTATGAGTTTTGGTCGTTAGCCGTTTTCGATAGAACTAGGTCCAAACGGCTCGAACCTAGCCTTACGGTTTTTCATCGAGTTTTTATCACACTGATATCGTTTCACGTATTCCGACTCCGGTTAGCCGTATCTCACTTGACAAGCAATGAAGCTGATTTTTAGATCCCAAACAACCTTTTTTCACCAAAATAACTCGTAAGTCAAGGCTTATAGCGATGAGCTTTTGTCGTTGGCCGTTTCGAATCGGACCAGGTCCAGGCTGCTTCGACCTAGCCTACCGGTGTTTCATCGGTTTTTATCGCTCTCATACCATTTCGCGTATTCCAAGTCCGGTTGGCCCATATCTTCTTAAAAAACTTTGAAGGTGATGTTGAAGGCCCAAACTATATTTTTTTACCAAAATAACTAATAAGTCGTGGCTTATAGCTATGAGTTTTGGTTGTTGGCCGTTTCGGATAGACACTGGGTCAGACACGGCTCGAACCTAGCCTAACGGTTTTCCATCGGTTTTTATCACACTCATACCGTTTGACGTATTCCAACTCTAGTTGGCCGTATCTTCTTGACAAACTATGAAGGAAGTTTTTGAGAGCCCAAACTACGTTTTTTCACCAAAATAACTCAAAAGTCATGGCTTATAGCTATGAGTTTTGGTCGTTAACCCGTTTTCGATAGAACTAGGTCCAACACGGCTCGAACCTAGCCTTACGGTTTTTCATCGAGTTTTTATCACACTGATATCGTTTCACGTATTCCAACTCCGGTTAGCCGTATCTCCTTGACAAACAATGAAAGCTGATTTTTAGATCCCAAACAACCTTTTTTCACCAAAATAACTCGTAAGTCAAGGCTTATAGCGATGAGCTTTTGTCGTTGGCCGTTTCGAATCGAACTAGGTCAAGCTGCTTCGACCTAGCCCTACGGTGTTTCATCGGTTTTATCGCTCTCATACAGTTTCACGTATTCCAAGTCCGGTTGGCCCATATCTTCTTAAAAAACTTTGAAGGCGATGTTGAAGGCCGAACTATATTTTTTTACCAAAATAACTAATAAGTCGTGGCTTATAGCTATGAGTTTTGGTTGTTGGCCGTTTCGAGATAGAACTGGGTCCGACACGGCTCAAACCTAGCCTAACGGTTTTCCATCGGTTTTATCACACTCATACCGGTTTGACGTATTCCAACTCTAGTTGGCCGTATCTTCTTGACAAACTATGAAGGAAGTTTTTGAGAGCCCAAACTACGTTTTTTCACCAAAATAACTCAAAAGTCATGGTTATGGCTATGAGTTTTGGTCGTTGGCCCGTTTTCGATAGAACTAGGTCCAAACGGCTCGAACCTAGCCTTACGGTTTTTCATCGGTTTTATCACAGCGATATCGTTTCACGTATTCCAACTCCGGTTAGCCGTATCTCGCTTGACAAGCTATTAAGGCTGATTTTGAGATCCCGAAACAACCTTTTTTCACAAAAATAACTCGTAAGTCAAGGCTTATAGCGATGAGCTTTTGTCGTTGGCCGTTTCGAATCCAGCTAGGTCCAAGCTGCTCCGATCTAGCCCTACGGTGTTTCATCGGTTTTATCGCTCTTATACAGTTTCACGTATTCCAAGTCCGGTTGGCCCATATCTTCTTAAAAAACTATGAAGGGTGATTTTGAGGGCCCAAAGTATATTTTTTCACCAAAATAACTAATAAGTCGTGGCGTATAGCTATGAGTTTTGGTTATTGGCTCGCTTCGAGATGAACTGGGTCCAAACGGCTCAAACCTAGGCGACGGTTTTCCATCGGTTTTTATCACACTCATGCAGTTTCACTTATTCTAACTCTAGTTGGCCGTATCTTCTTGACAAGCTATGAAGGCGGATTTTGAGAGCCCGAACTACGTTTTTTCACCAAAATAACTCAAAAGTCATGGCTTATAGCTATGAGTTTTGGTCGTTGGCCCGTTTTCGATAGAGCTAGGTCCAAACGGCTCGAACCTAGCCTTACGGTTTTTCATCGGTTTTCATCACAACTGATATCGTTTCACGTATTCCAACTCCGGTTAGCCGTATCTCACTTAACAAACAATGAAAGCTGATTTTTAGATCCCAAACAACCTTTTTTCACCAAAATAACTCGTAAGTCGAGGCTTAGAGCGATGAGCTTTTGTCGTTGGCCGTTTCGCATCGAACTAGGTCCAAGCTGCTTCAACCTAGCCCTACGGTGTTTCATCGGTTTTTATCGCTCTCATACTAGTTTCACGTATTCCAAGTCCAGTTGGCCCATATCTCTTAAAAAACTTTGAAGGGTGATGTTGAGGGCCCGAACTATATTTTTTACCAAAATAACTAATAAGTCGTGGCTTATAGCTATGAGTTTTGGTTGTTGGCCGTTTCGAATAGAACTGGGTCCGACACGGCTCGAAACCTAGCCTAACGGTTTTTCCATCGGTTTTTATCACACTTTCATACCGTTTGACGTATTCCAACTCTAGTTGGCCGTATCTTCTTGACAAACTATTAAGGAAGTTTTTGAGAGCCCAAACTATGTTTTTTCACCAAAATAACTCAAAAGTCATGGCTTATAGCTATGAGTTTTGGTCGTTAACCCGTTTTCGATAGAGCTAGGTCCAAACGACTCGAACCTAGCCTTACGGTTTTTCATCGGTTTTTATCACCTCGATATCGTTTCACGTATTCCAACTCCGGTTAGCCGTATCTCCTTGACAAACTATTAAGGCTGATTTTGAGATCCCAATCAACCTTTTTTCACCAAAATAACTCGTAAGTCGAGGCTTATAGCGATGAGCTTTTGTCGTTGGCCCGTTTCGAATCCAACTAGGTCAAGCTTGCTCCGATCTAGCCTACGGTGTTTCATCGGTTTTTATCGCTCTTATACGTTTCACGTATTCCAAGTCCGGTTGGCCCATATCTTCTTAAAAAACTATGAAGGTGATTTTGAGGGCCCGAAACTATATTTTTTCACCAAAATAACTAATAAGTCGTGGCTTATAGCTATGAGTTTAGGTTGTTGGCTCGTTTCGGATACACACAGGTCCAGAACGGCTCGAACCTAGGCGGCGGTTTTCCATCGAGTTTTTATCACACTCAGTGCCGTTTCATGTATTCTAACTCTAGTTGGCCGTATCTTCACGACAAACTATGAAGGCGGATTTTGAGAGCCCAAACTACGTTTTTCACCAAAATAACTCAAAAGTCATGGCTTATAGCTATGAGTTTAGGTCGTTGGCCCGTTTTCGATAGGCCCAGGTCCAAGCGGCTCGAACCTAGCCTTACGGTTTTTCATCGGTTTTTATCACCACGATATCGTTTCACGTATTCCGACTCCGGTTAGCCGTATCTCATTGACAAACTATGAAGACTAATTTTGAGATCCCAAACAACCTTTTTCACTAAAATAACTCGTAAGTCACGGCTTAGAGCGATGAGGTTTTGTCCTTGGCCGGTTTCGAATCCAGCTAGGTCAGCTTGCTCCAATCTAGCCGACGGTGTTTCATCGGTTTTATCGCTCTCATACCGTTTCACGTATTCCAAGTCTAGTTGGCCCATATCTTAAAAAACTTTGAAGAGCTGATTTTGAGGGCCCAGAACTATATTTTTTCACCAAAATAACTAATAAGTCGTGGCTTCTAGCTATGAGTTTTGGTTGTTGGCCGTTTCGAATGAACTGAGTCCAAACTGGCTCGAACCTAGCATGACGGTTTTCCATCGGTTTTTATCACACTCATCTCAGTTTCACTTATTCAACTCTAGTTGGCCGTATCTTCTTGACAAGCTATGAAGGTAGATTTTGAGAGCCCGAACTACGTTTTTTCACCAAAAGAACTCGTAAGTTGTGACTTATAGTTATGAGTTTTGGTCCTTAGCCCGATTCGGTAGAACTAGGTCCGAACAACTCGAACCTAGCCTTACGGTTTTTCATCGGTTTTATCACACGATATCGTTTCACGTATTCCAACTCCGGTTAGCCCATATCTCGTTGACAAACTATGAAGGCGGATTTTGAGATCCCGAACAACCTTTTTTCACCAAAATAACTCGTAAGTCAAGGCTTAGAGCGATGAGCTTTTGTCGTTGGCCCGTTTCGCATCGAACTAGGTCCAAGCTTGCTCCGACCTAGCCCTACGGTGTTTCATCGGTTTTTATCGCTCTCATACCGTTTCACGTATTCCAAGTCCGGTTGGCCCATATCTTCTTAAAAAACTTTGAAGGCTGATGTTGAGGGCCCAAACTATATTTTTTCACCAAAATAACTAATAAGTCGTGGCTTATAGCTATGAGTTTTGGTTGTTGGCCGTTTCGGATAGACCTAGGTCCAAACGGCTCAAACCTAGCCGACGGTTTTCCATCGGTTTTTATCACGGTCATACCGTTTCACGTATTCCAACTCTAGTTGGCCGTATCTTCTTGACAAACTATGAAGGTAGATTTTGAGAGCCCGAACTACGTTTTTTCACCAAAATAACTCATAAGTCATGGCTTATAGCTATGAGTTTTGATCCTTAGCCCGATTCGGTAGAACTAGGTCCAGAACGACTCAAACCTAGCCTTACGGTTTTTCATCGGTTTTTATCACACTTGATATCGTTTCACGTATTCCCGACTCCGGTTAGCCGTATCTTCTTGACAAACTATGAAGGCTGATTTTGAGATCCCAAACAACCATTTTTCACAAAAATAACTCGTAAGTCATGGCTTAGAGCGATGAGCTTTTGTCGTTGGCCCGTTTCGAATCCAACTAGTTCCAAGCTGCTCGATCTAGCCTACGGTGTTTCATCGGTTTTTATCGCTCTTATACTGTTTCACGTATTCCAAGTCCAGTTGGCCCATATCTTCTTAAAAAACTATGAATGCTGATTTTGAGGGCCCAAACTATATTTTTTCACCAAAATAACTAATAAGTCGTGGCTTATAGCTATGAGTTTTGGTTGTTGGCTCGTTTCGGATAGACTGGGTCCAAACGGCTCAAACCTAACACGACGGTTTTCCATCGGTTTTTATCACACTCGTACACGTTTCACGTATTCTAACTCTAGTTGGCCGTATCTTCTTGACAAACTATGAAGGTAGATTTTGAGAGCCCGAACTACGTTTTTTCACCAAAATAACTTAAAAGTCATGGCTTATAGCTATGAGTTTTGGTCGTTAGCCCGTTTTCGATAGAACTAGGTCCAAACGGCTCGAAACCTAGCCTTACATTTTTTTCATCGGTTTTTATCACACTCATACTAGTTTCACGTATTCCAACTCTAGTTGGCCGTATCTTCTTGAC